ACGAGGTGGATTTTATTTTCCCCGAGACTGTGTTCAGTGATGCACAGTCATTTCTGCTGACTCATTTCCCCAGTCAGAGAACGTGGATTCTATGAAGCCCAGCTAAGAAGCACGAACAATCCTGTGGTACACAGATGGGACACCATGTAGGAAAATACTTTAGAACAAAACAAGCCAAAAAAAAAAAAAAAGCCCCTCAGAGCACTGAAAGCACAAAAGAGATTGGGCTGAAGCATGGTTTATTATTGAAATTTGTGTACAAACTTTGGAACCATAGTGCAATTTAAGAGATTATGCACCTACCCTATTGAGAGCACAGTATACATGGAATTAGTTTTAATTATTGTTTTAAAGCTAGAACACAATCCATACAGCTGGATGGGGAAAGGCAAAGTAGAGAATAATGACAAGAGAATATCTACAGATACTGGAGATTAAAGAAAAAATATTAAAATTCAATTACAAATTTCTGTAATTGGAAGAAGCGACTATGAAAATACTTAAATTGCTTGCACTACTTGTGCTAGTTATAAACCATGAACCAGAGCTGCTCATTTACATGGGGCACTCCAGCAGCCCCCACTAGGCTGGGCTTGCTGTAGTACTATGCAATAAAATGAAACAAAACATGCATTTGGAACCCCAAACTAACTTCTCATTGTTCATTGCTCATTGCATTTCTATATTTTAGGCCAAAGACATGCACAAACATAGTTTGATTAATAAGCCTACATGTACGTAATATTGGAAATACAATGACATATCCAGAGAAAATATTCTCTCTCATCAGTTAAGGTTGCTGCCTTAATGAGTTAATGCCCCAGGCCAAAGTATAATGTCAGTTCTGGGATGATTCAGGCACCTCTCCACTACAGGCTTGCTACACGGACCCACAGTGACCCACATGGCAAGGAGTTTAGAGGCTTCTAAGAGGGTCTTAACATTTCTCCGTGAACAGCAGCATCACCCTTGTACTACCACACTTGGGCCTCTTCTGTTCCAGATTTACTGTGCCTTCCAGAGAATAGTTACAAGGGACCAGATCCCACCAGTAGCAGAAAGCAGCCAGCTCTGCTGCCCAGCTGAGAACTGCCTCGCTGTAATTCCCTCCTGGCATAGTGTCACATAGTATCTCTCATATACTGCAGATAGAAATGTCCTCTATCAGAAATGCTGCCTGGCGCTAACAACATCCAGATAAGCTGTAACTCTGCTGAAGCACTCCACAATTTGCTGACAGCTTTGTGGTATCTCCTCGGATGTTTTATGCCCTGTGCAGTCCATGATTCAGCACTGCCCGCTCCTGTAGCCCAGAACCAGACCAAATGCTGGGCAGTGTGGACTACACAGCCTACCTCCTGTGAAACCTGCTGCTTTTTCTGAGTCAGGTAATAATCTAAGTGGGCTCGAAGGTGAATTTTGGACAGATAATTAAATATAACACCCTATAAAGAGAATGATTATTAACCTTCTGCCACGAAGCTACATCAATCTTCATAAACTAATTTTAACATTGAACTTTGTTAAACTTGAAGAAAACATCTGTGGAGGCAGATTTTTGTCTGTGTTAAAAAATACATTGCTGGGTGGCTTGAGTACTGCAGATCTTTATGTATTTCTAATTTTATAATCAAAGAAATGACATCCCTGGTGAAGTTCATATTTTCTTCGACAGAAAATACCAAGACTACTTCTCACTTCTTTATGAGGAAAGTGGTCAAAATAAAATTGTTCCAGAAGACTGCACAATTTTGTTTCAAGTTAAATTTTATTTCCCTTTTTATCCATAGTACAGAACATAGATAAGAATTTTGCAAGAAGTTTTGATTTCCTTAATTTTTATATTAGAGTCAGGTATGAATTCAAATCTTCTCTTGCCAGAGTGTGAAAACTAAGATTTTTCATGGACAAGAAATATATCTCTCATAGACAATGTCTGAAATATCTCTTTATTGTGAGCATCCTCCAGCTCTTCTCCAAACCAGTGTGCCATGTATTATGTTAGCAACATTTATACTTTGAGCCTAAATTTCCAAATGCTTTTACTGATTTTATTATAAACATTTTATTTACTTAATTCCAGTTTTATTAGAGGGCTTGTTTTTTCTCAGGAACTGCAAACTTTTCCTTTATGCCATTTTGCTTATAAAAGGAATATTAAAGTGATGAAAACACCTTATTTAGGTATATATTTAAATAACTCCAAGAACTGGATTCCAAATCCTGCATAGTAACTCTAGACGATGTCCTAGATGCAATGACATGGTTATTTTTTTTTCTGCTCTATATTTAGATAGTCTTTTTAACTGTCCTTTTCTCTTGGAAAACGGGAGATGGGCTTAACTCCCACCAGTGACTGATCAGCTGCTACTGTCAGTCCTGAGGTCAGGTGTATCACCTGGTTTTCAGAAAACCAGCATGTAGCTCAGCTGAGCAGCAGATGGACAAGGGTGTACAAGAACCGTGCATACACGTGAGCCGAGACAGATGGCCTGAAGAGTGTTATTCTGTGGGGAGCAGATAGATTTCCCCAGGAGATGCTGTGATAAGAGGCAGAAGGGCACAAGTGGTGTGTTGAACTTCTCTGTTTTGAAGAAACAGAGCTGAAGACTTGAAGAACAAAGGGAGGCTTACCATCCTGTGGCTTCATGGTATTATTTGCATGCTAGAGAGTTAGTTTACTGGTTTACATGATTGCTTCTGGCACACAATAATACTCTTTGTAGCTCTCAAAAAAATATTTAAATCCTCTACTCTTTTGCCCAAAGCACTATTATGCGCTGTGGATGGTAGCAATTTTATGATAACACTTTCAAAGCTTCACTACGATAGCTATATTAAAACACCAAACACTACGGAAGTTGGACAGAGCTGAACTTACAGAAATAATTTCCTACCAGGGCATAGAATACTGATTACAATTTTATTAATCTGGAATAGACTGGAATGATATTATGGCTCCACTGGTGTCCATCTTTCCATTTCCATCATATGGTGATTTTTATCAATAGAGCTCAAAGTATGGCACAGTTAGCTCTTCAGCATAACGTACAATCACTGTAGTGCAGGGAATGTAGCCTGTCTGCCCTCAGTTTTATTTGCTTACTATAAGCATTCACACTTTCTGCCAGAACTGATCTGGAGACAAATGCAATTTTTACTTTCTTTAGAAAACTTCTACTTGCCTTTGCAACTAAATTATTGGTGAAAAGGACCCTAAAATACCAAAATTATTAACATGCTGTTTTCTCCATCCTCCCTCAAAAAAGAAACCCTTTGCTAAGTAACATGTCTCCTGATGTTATTTGATTATTTTTTCTGGGATTTAAGAGTTGCCACTGAGAACATAGGGCAATTTTTATCCATAGGCAAGGGAGGCTATGTTCTCAAGTGTGGTCAAAAAAAATCACATGGTCTCATTTTGCATCATATTCTGTTTTCTTTATACTGTTCCTTTTTATTTTGTTAGATTAAATGGCAATTATCTTCTTTCCTGCATTGAAGTTCTTCAGAACAGAAGGGAAATTACTAGGTACTGATCACTACGATCCTTAGTCATTAACTACTGGATAGAAATGGGCATTTTTCCACTTGGTCTCGACCTTTATCTCAAACTACAGGTTTGCAATCCACTAGACAAAAAAGCAAACTTCTCGAGACAAAGAATGGACACAAGGAGTGGAGACCCCTCTGAATTCTTCCAACAAATATCTCAAATACTCATAAATGAGGCAATTGGAGCCACAACAGGCAAGATAACAGCCAGGTGTTCCATGAGATATGCCATGAGATACACGGTGAACGGATTTCCACGACATAAGTAGCTAAGAGATTTCCATGAGAAGTGTGAATGGCGTGCTGAGGGGAGGATGTATGACCCTTATCACTGCAGTAAGTCAAGTGGAAGAGGGAGTGATGCTAAGATGTTATGGTTCTGTTCTGCCCCTTCACTAGACCCACAGTCTTTGTAATCCTTCTCTTTGTTACTCTAGAGATCCCCCATTTACATATAAATTGGCGCCCCCCCACCTCTATTTATGACGGCAGTACAGTCTCACCATCCATTTCTTCCAAAAGTATAAACTGGCATTTGAAATCCTACATGGCTGAGAATACAACTACCTTAAAGACAAATCAATGGACTTGCTACTCTCTCCTCCCCCAAGCAGGGACACCTCTGGTAAGATGTGTGCCTCCTACTCTGTCAGAGTATACCCAAGAGCTTCAGGATGAGCGCTCCTTACACACCAAAGAGCCATGTTGACTGGTCCAATACTGGATCTGTCACCAGTGATTTCTCTTTCTCCCCCCCCTCTTTTTCTTTTCTCTCTATCTCTTTTTCTTCCACCATTCTCTTTCTCATATGATATTGCAAGGTTTACCAATATAGTCTTTTGCTACCCATGTGCCTTTATCATTCAATTAACAAACGTGAATTTTCTTTCAAATAAAAGTGTTACTTGTTAAATGACCTCTAGTGTTGTTTCACTGGACCACTAGCCAAGGGTATTTTCAAATGAGTCACTTTCCTCCTCTTCCTGTGTTGAAAAGTGATAAGAGATACCAACTCTTGACCCGATCAGTGGGCAGGGAGATTTGGGAAGTGACTTCTCAACTTTAAGGTAGGAGAGGTTTGAGCAGTGCCAAGACAATGGCTACTCGAGAACTGCCAGCTCTCGACTGCTACCCTGTTTGAAGTTGTTATCTCCTCCTTCCCTTGATGGGAGGATTGTGACAAGGTTGTTTATTCTGAGAACTAAGAAAAATACTTTGTACTGAATGGGGGTGAGAGAAAAAGAGAGGCTTAGACATATACCATCATGCAGAACAGGAACTCTCTTGAGGCCAGTGTGTCTTCCCCCTCTTCTGAAAGCAGAAAGGTTCATTTCTTGCTTACCAGTTTTTATGACATACAGATGAGAAAAGTTCAGTTTTACAAGTGTTCTACATTAAAAGTCTCTAAAAGCCACCACCACTACCAAAGAAACAAAAATCCCAACCTGGGAGAGAAAATCTTTAATAGAAGGCATGCACATCATAGAAATAGAAAAGCTAACTAAAGGACAAGGGCTAATATATTAAGAGATTAACAGACCTGTGAAGAGCCTTGTGAATAAGCCTGTGAACGGAGGTCACAGAATCATGAATTGTTGTCTGCTATTTCTATAAGGATTCTAGAAGTGTATGATTTTCTCTCATTTCCCATTGTTGGTTGAGTCCAGACTTCATTAAGTGGAGGAGGGTGAGCAGCAGCCACTTGTGGGACTTTCTCACAGCATCAGATCATCAACAGCAGGTGCAGGACACTTGCATGAGGAGTCACACCTTTGAGGTCCCATGTAGGGGGACTGACAGCATGGCACTTTCATGACCCTTCACCTCAGTAGCCATGATGGCAGTTGCTGTCCTCTGCCCGTTCTGACTCCTGTCATCAAATTCAGGATGAGAAGATTCGATGTTCACATCTCACAACATAAGCCTGGGTGTCCTACCTTTAGATGGAGCTACCTACCCAGGCACATGGCTGCATACCAGGAGGGAGTGAAACAAGGTTGCTTCATCACTTCCTAGAGAAGTACGTAACTTTAGCTGCTCACTATCTTATGGATTGAATCAATAGGCATCCTGGCCTGTATGAGAAATAATGTGGCCAGCAGGATCAGGGAAGTGATCTCCCCCTGTACTTGGCACTGGTGAGGCCACCCCACGAGTACTGTGTCTAGTTCTGGGCCCTTCACTTCAGGAAGGACATGGAAGTGCTGGAGCAAGGGCAGAGAAAGGCAACAAAGCTGCTGAGGGGACTGGAGCATAAGTCATATGAGGAGCAACTGAGGAAGATGGTCTTGTTTAGCCTGGAGAGGAGGAGGCTCAGGGGTGACCTTATCACTCTACAACTACCTGAAATGAGGTTGTAGCCAGGTGTGGGGGAGCTTCTTCTGGCAGGCAACTAGGAACAGGATGAGAGAACACAGTCTCAAGCTGTGCCAAGGGAGGTTCAGGTTGAACATTAGGAAAAATTTCTTCACAAAAGGGCTGATTAGACACTGGAATGGACTGCTCCAGGAGAGTAACTGTCCTGGAGGTGTTTAAGGAAAGACTAGATGCGGCACTTAGTGCCATGGTCTACTTGACATCGTGGTGTTCTGTCATAGGTTGGACTCGATGATCTCTGAGGTCTTTTCCTACCTATCGATTCTGATTCCATAATAGCTAAATCCCAAAAGGCACATCCAGAAATAAAAGAACTCCATTTAAAAAACAAAATAAAAACTTAGGATCTTTTATCAAGATCTTCTTTTAGGAGGGAGACAGAAAGCCTCCTAAGGGAACTCCAAACCGCTGGCTTGGCAGTCCTTCAGCTGCTTCATGAGAGGATTAAATATTTCCACAGGTTTTACTGAAGTGGTATTTATTAAAAATTGGTTGACCTGATTTTGCCTTTCCACAGTGCTGACAGCCCAGAAACTCACTCTTTACATTGCTCTTCTTACGCAGTCTTAACAGCCCTTAGTGTGTCCTCCCTCCTCCCAAGTGTTTCACCCACAGAATCACAGAATGGGTGAGGTCAGAAGGGACCACAGTGGGTCATCAGGTCCAATTCCCCTGCTCAAACAGGGTCATCCCAGACCGGACGGCACAGGATTTCGTCCAGATGGTTCTTGAGTACCTCTAGTGAGGGAGACTCCACAGTCTCTTTGGGCAACCTGTTCCCGTGTTCGGTCATCCGCACAGTACAGTTCTTCCTCACCGTGCACTACTTGGCTCACGCACGGCTTCCCACCTCCACTCCTCCCTGAGGATCCACCTCCCCGCACCGCACTCGCCCACCGCCCGTGATGTCACAGCCCGTGCCCGCCCGGCCCCGCCCCATTGAGGGCAAGGGCATTTTCCCCGCCCCCTCACGGGGTGCACCCACTGCGCCTGCGCCATCCTCCACCTTTCCTGTTGCTTTTTTCCGCCGGCGGGCGGGGTGGGCGGAGCAAATGTCATTGTCCCCGGAGCCCATTGGCTGCCGGCCGGGCCGGTGCGGGTGCGCGCGCACTCTCGTGCCCGCCCCCTCCCCCTTGACCCCACCCTCCGCTCCCCGCCGGGGGCTCCGTCGGGCACCGCCCGGGGCCGAAGGGTCACGACCCCCGCACCATCCCCCTCGCACCGCCCCCCTGCCGCCGCCGCCGCCGCGAAGGGGGGGCCCCGCCCGAGCCGGGAGCAGCCACGGCCGCCGGGGCCGCAGCGTCACCGCTTAGGTACGTCCGGGGCTCCGAGCCCCGGTCTCCTCGCCCCTCACGCTCGCGGCTCCGAGGGGTCGCCACCCGGGCGGTGAGCGGCCGTGCCGCGGGCGGCGGGGCTGGGCGGCCCGGGGCCTGGGCGAGTCGCCTGTTCGGGGAGCAGTGGGTGCCGCGGGCCAGCTGCACGGTGACCGGGGGTGCGGCGGGGCCGGGTCACCGCGGCCGCGTGGACCCCTCCAGGGGCTGTCGCGGAATGTCTCATCCCGCTGGCCTCGCCTTCCCAGCCTTCAAGTCACTTTCCTCCCTCGAAACAACGAGCTGTGCCCGCGTTCCGGCGGTGTGACGCGGGGGGGGAGGCCCCTGGCCCGGTGTTCTGGGGCGCTCGGTGCGGCGTTCAGCCCCAGGTCGCCTCACGGGCCCCGCTGTGCAGGGGTGCTGCTGCTGCGGGGTGTGGGCACGGTCGTCTCCAGGTCGCGGGAGTTTTAAACGCCTCGCACTCACACAGAGCGGTTCTCCCGCTTTGCTCGTCAGAGTGCGGTGCCCAGGCTGGCGTCCACGTGCATTCCGTTATGCCGTAGGGATCCCTCTGCCTCTGGGTTAAGTGCGGTGGTTGCTCCCGTCAGGGTTGGCTCCGATTGCTGTCAGCATCGCTTCGTGTGCGTGGGCATTACTTTGAAAAACTCACCTTCCCTCAATTCTGTTGTCTATAACACTACCTGAAAGAATGTTGTGACAAGGTGGAAATCGGCCTCTTCTCCCAGGCAGCCAACGACAGGACGAGAGGACATGGCCTCAAGCTGTGCCAGGGGAGGTTTAGATTGAACATTAGGAAGAATTTCTTCACAGTAAGGGTGATTAGACACTGGAATGGACTGCCCAGGGAGGTGGTGGAGTCACCGTCCCTGGAGGTGTTTAAGGAAAGTCTGGATATGGCACTTAGTGCCACGGTCTACTTGACATGGTGGTGGTCGGTCATAGGTTGGACTCGATGCTCTCTGAGGTCTTTTCCAACCTAATTGATTCTGTGATTCTGTGTTTGAAATTCAAACAGGCAAGATTTCTGTATTCCAGGATGTTTCCTTTGGCTTTCATAAATCATCAAATAGTGTTTGTTTATTGTTTTGATTTTGGTTGGGTTTTTTTTCCGTCAAGACCCTTCTGAAATTATTCAGAGTTATAAGAATTCTGTCCTATTCCAGCATAAATGCCTTTAACATTAGGATGTGGCGTACTGGATTTAGTAGCTTGGAATACTTTCCTCTCATCTTCCTACATTCCTTTATAAGTTGTATGCAGAAGCTGAATTGACACGGATATCTAAATATACTGACAGAGTATAAAATGAGGTCGTAGATCTGTTGGGTTCAGGCTTCTTATAAAAAATCTCTTTTTAAAAAGAAAGTTACTACTTATTCTAGTATTTAATTATGAGCATGTAGTTTTGAGTATGTAGTTATTAGTTTCTCAGATGGGTCTAATATTCCATAATTGCTTCCTCCTATGTATTGTTTAGCATGTGTACTTTATTTTCTGGTATTTTATCCACAAAATCTGTTCTGTGCCCAGGTTTAGTCAAGAATTTGGATGTGCATCTTGACTTGACTTTGCAGTTAGTCAAAAGCAATAAGACTATCCATTTAGTTTGATGATTGGTCCCACTGAAATGCAATAGAATAATTAAAGGCTCTTCTGTAAACAGTTTGTGTATTCAGATCCCAGGATGCACAGTTTTCTGGGAAAATAAAGTATTGAATACTAGTAGGAATGTCACTGGGAACTTCGAAGGACAGAGCTTGATACCTTAGGCTCTAAACCATATTTTATGTAATGGCAACTTCAGACTAGCCCTGTGTCAAGTTTGCTTAAAATTTCATACCTATGTAGGCTTTGAAAGGAAAGAGGAATTTTTTGTGTATTTTCCCCACACCCACCCCCAAATCTCCTGTACTTCCTGCACTTTTGTTTGTGGAGTTTCTTTTGCTGTCTCCCTCCACCCCCATCTTTGAGGATTCCTCTGCTTCTTGGTTTATATCTGTCCCACAGAGTCTGAGCAACAGCTGTGAAATGAAGCATTCTTGTTGATCTCTGTCTGTTGCTGTCTGGCAAAATTATAAGATCTAGCACAAGGCAATGATTTATGTCCAGTTTTGTGTGATGGCACAGGAATAGGAGAGGCTCTGTAAAACTGATACTTTTGAACAATTAGAGTTTTTACTGCATATGTTTGTGTCTGAACATTTTGCAAGTTTAACTACTGTTGCATGGTAAAATTTTAGTGTGGGCATTTGATTTTATAATGCTTATTGCTGACTGATTTACTTTGTCTTGCAGGGACTGAAAGTACTGTTGAGAAAACAACAAAATGAGTAGTCGACGCAAACGCGCACCTCCATCGAAAGTAGATGAGGAGAAGAAGAAAAAGCTCTGCTGGAACATGCATGAAGACCGGAGAAATGAGATAGTAACATTAGATGATGAAGTGACTAATGAGGACCATGTTCCAGTTCCAAGCACTTCTGCATCCTTCATTGTTATAAATGATGATAGCACTGATGAAGATCTTGTACAAAAAGAAGGCAGTGGCTCAAAATCTGTTAAGTTTTTGACAGTTAATGATGAAGAAGACTCTTATTCCATCTTGACTCCTGTGTCTGTACAGCTAAATATTATAGTCTTGCCATACCGTGCAGATGGGTCCTGGAAGGTTTTGTTGGGAGAATTTGCTCTACATCTTCCTTCTGAGCAAATTCTAGCTGACGAATTCCATGAAAGGAGCTTTACTTTAATGAGAGGAGACTCTGACGATCAGCTGCAGGTCTGTGTTCATGAAAGAAGTGAAGAAGAGTATAGTAATGAAACTAAAGAATACCTGGGTGCTTATGAACAACGTATTTTGGTGGAACCAAGTTTAAGTGGTGAAATATTGGAAGGCTTGAGATGGTTGCAAAAGAAAAAGATAATTGGACTTTATCAAAGACCTGGAGAGGCTCAGACTTTAAAGGTATGCATTTGTATGCATTTTGAAAGTTTTTCTGTTTGAAATGTAAAATAGAAACCTCTGAACAACAAAGTCTGGCAGCTACCATATATTTTATAATGTGATGAAAATGTATAGTTTCTACACACTTTTGTAATGTTTTCAGTGTGTTTTTTTCTGAAAATAACTTTTTACTTTTTCACTGTTAGCAATGCATTGCCCAAAAGAATCACAGAAGCTTTTAGTTACAATTCCTCTATATGGTATTTTTAGTAGATTTGTTATATCTGTCTATACTTGCTGATTTTCAAAGCACTGTTGTTATTTTCATGTTCTTCTGTTTATAATATTCTTGTCATTTTAACAGCTAATTAAATTATTAACTGTATAACCCTTTCACAGGTTGGAATTTACCTTCTTGAAACTGGGCTAAGTAAACCAGAGTTTCTCAGCGATGGAGGTGGAAGGCCCAAAAAAGCCAATCAGCTGATTCAAAAACTCATGGAAAAGTTCTACAGTTTTTTAATTCCAGGTAATGCAATAAAGTTGATTGTTGACAAACAGTTTTTGTTATTAAAGTGTGTCTTGTGTGGTAGTTTTAAATGTAAGGAAAAATGGTAATTATTCCTGCCATCTAGACTGACTTTTACTTTCAAGCTAATGTTATTAGGTATGTCAATATTATTATCTGACCATTAATCATATGCTAATTAGTTTATGCTGCAGTTAGAGGTGATAATATTTCTTCTGTACAGATAAAGCACTGAAACACAGAGATGTTTGAGTCCTTAACTTTTTGGGAGTAAATACAGTTTTCACTGATTCTTGTGAGTTGGTTGAACAGATCTACAGTAGCTTCTCTGAGTTACACAGGAACTATTTAAACGAACCAGGAATTAAATTTGGAAAAATTTTGTTCCCAGGTTGGTGCCTATCACAAAACTATGGAATAGATTTCTGTGTGTTTTATATTGTACAGCAGTTATAATGCAAACCACTACAAAATGCAACTTTATGACAGTTCTGAAAATATACCACTAAAGATTTACAACTTCGAGCCTTGTTGTCATTTTGGAATTGAAGATATGTTTGCCAGAATATAGTCAGTAGTAATACAGATTTATAGAGTGATAAATGATGGCTTAGGAAACTTGTGAAAAAAACCAGTCTTGTTCCTGAGTGTAGTATTGATTCAAAATTTGAGCTGAAGACTGATTCAATAACAGTGACTGTAGTATTCTGAGTTTGAGGGTTCTTGCAGAAGCAAGAGAAGCCTAGCACCCACATACAATTGTACTTAATTTGAAAAGGCAGAATTGTGTAAAAAATTAGGCAACTTGCTAAAGAGAAGCTTAAAATGAATGCTAATGGAATAAAATCTGAACATCCTTACTTGCTGCGAAGAACAAATGTGGAACTGTAAGAAGAGACTTGAGGTGTACCAAGGGATGGGTCAGTATAGCTAAGTATGTGGGGGAGGGAAGATATTGCACATAAGAAGTCATCCTTCCAAAAACTGAAGTAATCTGACTGACACAGACATGTCAGTGT